AGATGGGAGCGTTACACAGTGGTTGTAAAAATAAAAAAATAAATGCATTTTTTGTGTGTGAAGTGGGTTTGAATGCACTGGAAATCCTGCTTCACACAACTCCACTCACAAATCACTGATAACTTGCTTGGTTACTTTAAGCTACTGCTGTGGAACAGAAGGAGCGTCTGAGAAAACTAGGGTAAAAAAAAAAGCATGAAGGGCAAGTAATGTAGCAGTAAGAAAGGAAGTCTAATCTGAAAAATATGGCTAACTTTTAACAGCAGAGGAATCTACAAACTATTTCTCATACTATTATGTTGTATAAATAAAATGTGCCCGACACAAAAGGGTTTGCCGCTTTTGAAAAATCAATGCAGGCTACACACGTATATACTGATGGTGCAAGCAAAACAGGTACAGCAGCATTGCGATAGTGATGATATGTGACTTGCCCATACAGGTTTATGTTTCAGTTTATGTGTGTTTTGATCAAGGGGGAACCTCCGAGTCTGAAAAGTGAAGCCAATGCGGAAGTGCCTTAAACCTGCATTCTTTCTAATGGCCACCACTAGTTGCAAAAACAGTCTGATTGCATTGGTCTACCTACTTCCCACCTGATGTATTAACTCAATAAACACTTTCCTAATGAGTTTATGATCTCAGTCGCTAGTTTCAAGTCTTCTTCAACACAGCAAGATGTTAATTTAGTGAATTATGGTCCCATTTGGACGAAAATTAAAGTCTATCTTATCTTATAGCAAGGTAGGCTTTAGGGCGTGGCTGTCTGGTGATAGACAAGTCGCTACCATTCAACCTGTCAATCAGGATAGAGGCGTGTGTATACACAGCAATGTGTACATTTAACCAGCAACGTTGTAAAAGCTTAGTAGTTGACTTTTAATTGTTTCTGTTAAGTAACTACATTTTGTTTTAAACCTGTTTTTCGCTAGCCAAAATCAGCATACCGTTTAAAACCACAATTAACGTGAATTACAGATGCACCTTGCTAACCAATCTGGCTAGCGCAACCCACTCGTCCAAATATGGTCACATCTGGTGTCTGGTTCCAATAAACCAAGATGCCAAATTCGAGGCTTCAGAACGGTAGTCCACAAACCAGTGTGACGTCACAATGACTCCGTCCACTTCTTTTATACAGTGTATGGTTTTGATATATAATTCTTGTTGGTTATATATAAAAAAAGCGCATTGAACACAGAAAAGGAAACAGAGTTTGTTCAATTTAAATAAAATAAAACATCCCTTGCTTTTCTAACAAAAGACACCATCTAAATATGATTAGGTCCGTCAATTTGGGAACAGACCGAACGGAAGACTAAAACGTTGTCACTTATGGTTTGAGTAACCCTCTCTTCTCTTCCACTAACCCCCAACAGAGCTGCTGGGTTTTTGGTAGAGGTTGTACAGGACAGATTTGTGTGAATGTGTCTAACTCTGTATAAAAACAGATGAGAAGACCCCAAACTTACAACAAAGTTTCCTTTACGATCCAAAAACAACATGTTATAAGACAGCAGTCATCTTAAAGAGGTCATGTTATGCTCATTTTCAGGTTCAAAATCCTATTTAGGTTTAATTTTCAAAAAACACCATATTTTTTGTCATACTGTACATTGCTGAAGCTCCCATTTTCACCCTGTGTTGAACGCTTCGTTTTAGCTATAGAGTGATACATCGTGTCTCTAAATGATCTTTGTTGGGAGTTGCACATGCACAGTTCCCAGCTAAGGACTACTAGCCAATAAGAAGCAGAGAAGTGCAGGTATATACAGCTGTATATCCCTTACCAGCTTAGTAACATGGACTGGAGCAAGAGTTTCAGAGTGGTGAGTTATTAATCTGTAACAAAAGTATTTTTCATCCATAAAGTTTTAACTGAGCTCTGTCTCTACATCACAGTAACAACTTTATGTCCATTGACTGCCTGGAGGGTAGCTAGTGTTTGGAAGGGAGAGGAGAGGTGTGTGCTTGAGCGCAGTGTTTTTCCACCAGTGTTTTTGAGGGCATGTTGGAGTAGCGGCTTGGCGAGCATTATATGACGCGCATTTCCCTTTCATCCCTGTGACGTGACAGGGATGAAAGGGAAACGGCTGGACTACAAACAAGCTGTTTTCAAGCAGTTCAGAGCAGTATTTTCTGTGGGAGATGGGAAATCCCTTTGGGGTGGACTTTGGGCTTTTTCACTTTGCAAACCAAATAAGGTGTATAACTCATTAAAGGACAGAGAAAAAGCCAAAAAGCATAATACCTCTTTAAGTGCCTTTGAGGACTAGACGGATTACGACTGATATGGATTGGAGGCGATCCTGATTTTATGTTCTGTTGGTGTTGTCTTTGTATGCTTCTCTCTCTCTCTCTTACTGGGAGTACTGGAACCTCTGACACAAATTTAATTACTGTACCAGTAATATTTGAGCTGTGTTGTATTGAGGAAGTTGGCAGCTTCTCTGTAAGCGAAAATACCCTAGAGTTGGTCTACAGAAATCTTGTGGAGAGTATGGTAATCTAAAAATAGGTCCAAATTGACTAGGATTGTGAATATGGCTGGGAAAATAATACGTAAATCACAGAGACAGCTGAGTGAGATTTATGTGCTCCACTGCAGGCAGAAAGCACAACGAACCGTGGGGGATCCTTCACATCCCCAGTTTGCTGAATTTGACAAGCTCCCCTCAGGAAGGCGTTATAGGGTACCCAGGGCGACAAAAATCCCTCGCACAATTGCTTTGATAAATTCATAAGAGATAACCGGTGTACTTGAAAGCTCCAATTGGTTTCTGTGTTTAAATGAATTGGTCGTATGTGTTCTGTGTTATGTGTATTTGATGTTTTTAATGTCTTTTAATGAACCTGGTGAAGCTAAAGACAAGTTTCCAGAAATGCATAATAAATATTTCTCTTATATTATTGTCCCTGATGACCTGTCTTTGCAGTTCTGTGCATCTATGTTCCTCAAGAAAATAATCTCTAATAACCTCATGTGGATGAACCACTTCTCTTACACACTTTATACACACAAACAATAGTTTCAATCCACTAAAGCATCATTGACTTAGTTCCCTGCAGCTGATGTGACACTGAGCACAAGCCATTTCAACCAGTTTCCTTTCTTTGCAGCCTCTGCGCACCAGGCTGCTCCTCTCATGAATGTCCTCTTCATCCTCCTCCATGGAAAGAAATCACAAAATTGCGAGCGTGCCTTGAGCCAACTGAGTTGGAAGAGAAACCTACATTAACTACATTACTTTGGCAAACCAGTCCGGTGCCAATACTGACCTGAGAACAGTGTACATTTCACTGGGACAGAGAAAGCAATCTGTTGTAGGATGCATTGTTATAAATCCTTAAACAGGGCCTATGTGTTTGTGTGTGTGAGCACGAGGGCGTCACATTGGCGCTGGGCAGTGCCAGCCGGTGTGTTGGCACGCCTCGCAGTAATCATGACAGTGTGGGCTGGCTGTCCGGCGTCACTACTTGCTATGGGGTTTGCAGTGTTACTTTCAGCGTGCAGTAATTTAATCAAGTGACATTTTTGTGGCAGCAACACAGACACAGTTTGAAGTTCCAGCTGCATAAACATGTATAGAATTACACACCTGCCTACTCTGCTCAACACTGTCATTACACCTGCTAATCACAATCATCGGTCGTGATAATTTCAGGAAAAACATTGATTTCACTCCTTCTTCAGAACCATGATTATTAATTATTTTATTATATAATATTATTAATCACTGTGGGTGTTTGATTATAGACGAGAATTAAGATTGATTGTTGCAGTTAATTATGAAGTCTCTGATTAGTATCGCTAGAAAAATAACCAATAATCTTTGTGATTTATTGCTCATTATATGATCATTCAAGAGTTCACTTTTTAGTAAAATGTTCTTTCAGTCTCTGACAATTTCTTCTGGTTGGATGATTATAAAAAAATACCCAACAACACAAGAGTTGTGTTTTAGTGGCAGACTTTATATTCAGAGCCTGGGAGAGAAGACAAAGTTCTTGGTTTGAAATGTTATACTGTATGTAAGAAGTAATTTTCTGGCACAAGCAAATTTACCACTGCAAGGGTATTTTTGACTCTAGCACCAGGGCCAGCGTGCGTCACGTACAGCACCGTGCCTCGAGTGAATAATGTAGCCTGAAGCTCTTTTTTAAATATATTTAACACACACAAAATATAAAGTTGACAAAAATAAGATCTTTTTATTAAAAAATAAAGTAGTTACTATTAATTTATAAAAAATCTGTTTAATTCTATTTTTTTGGGTGGCGTTACAACCGAGGTAGTTTTGTTTTCAAGATTCTGTTGTTTCATTTTAGGTTACGCATTTCATTTTTGTATCCCTTGTCAATTTAGTATTTTATATTTACTGTAATGAACAAAGTGACCAAATCAAATTTCATGCATGTCTAAACCTACTTGGCAATAATGCCGATTCTGGTGAATGTCTTTAACAATCTTGGGACAGTGTTGGAAATAAAAGTTGTCACTTTAACATGTTATCCTTCAGACTGCATGTTCTTGCAGATCCATAAATAAATCAAATAAAAATAGACTGTGCCTTATAAGACCATGTGGGAAGGGTATTTCTCTCACACACACACTTTAGGTGTAGCTGCTGCAGTTAATTGTTATGATAACTATGCAATGGGAATAAATAAAGTTTTTGGCAGTGCACAGGTTTTTATTTGGCTCCATTTTTGCCCCTTGGTAAAAGTCTAGGTGGAGAGTGTGAGTGTGACTCACTCTGTGGCGACAGCAGCAGGAATGGGCTCCTCTAGTAACTCCAGACTGTGAAGAATCCAGAAACAGAGCCACGGTCTGCTAGCATCCAGACACTACCCGCACAGAGACAGACAGACACACACATCACATGATAAGATGGGCATCAGATGACCAATTATAGCAATAAACGAGATGGTGAGATCAGTCAGTCTGAGACAGAGACGAGAGCACACAAGTCTGCCACACAGACACAGAGGAGAGGCCGAGCCTACGGGAGGAAAACGATAGAGCTGAGAAACTCAGTCACCACAAAAATATCACACCACTTCTTTTCAGTTTGGTAAATATATGTGGTGTTATGATAGAATATAATTATAATTTGTGGTGTAGTATAATAGAGAAAAACAATAGAATGATGTCTTTGTTAAATAATATCATGACTCAGCTTCTAATTTCCATCCAATACTTTGCAATGTTTACTTGGAAATATAAGTACTTCACAGTAACAGCACATAAACACAATTGCTGTCAATCTGGTTTCAAAGGAAACAATGAAAGGTCTAAAGTCAAATCAGTATGATTCTGAGCTGGTGGGCACAAAACAAATCTCTCTCTTTTCTAGCCAGTGTGAGTTACTTTGGTCTATATTCTGGCTGGCTGTGGGCAGCTGCAAAAATTTGAACAAGCATAATATACATTTTTAACACACAGTAAGAGAGGTGACCTTCCCAGGAGCAGACAAGCATAACTTTCCATACAATGGTATTTCTATTTAAAGCAGAGAGAGCCAATCAGACATCTATCCAGAGGCAGCGAGTGTTACTGGTTATTACTGACACAGAGGAACTAATACGACCTCTGAGTGAACTTCAGTGCTCGGTTGTACTGTATGTGTCATGAGGTTTAACATGCGCTCAAATGGCCATGCCAGATGTTTTAACGTGTGTTCTTTGCCGGCTGGAAGTGTGATATCGTACCTCATAAGCATCTGATAAGTGACGTAAACCCTTCTTGAGATATTGGTAGTGTTGTTCCCGCAACAACGTTGGCCTGAAGACCAAACAAAGGAGAGAATGATCAATCACAAATAAAAATAAAAAAAACAGTTTAAAGAAGGGGCTCTATTCACTCCCGCTTGCAGAAATGCTATTATTAAAGGCTTTTGCTATTGTGACCTCAGGTCATAACATCAAAACAACATGAAAAATGGTTTTATGTTTTAAGCAATCAGCTGTCCACCAGGTAATCTCTTTGCTCGATTCTCGCTCCATCATAGTCAATTATACTTTCATTTTTTAGTGTATTTGTAAATAAAACTTTACCACAAAATCTGAGAGAAACAGAGTGCAGGCAGTGCGGTGTATCAGCTTTTCTTTTATTTACTTACTTAGATATTTTTAGGTTTTTTCGGCGCCTCCTAATTAGCGGCTCCTTTGCATTTTCCTCCTAATCTTTTATTCACTTTCTTTCAGCGGGGGAATATTCTGGCCTGTCCTCATTAAGAACAAAGTAGAAAAAGGAGCATCAAATCCAGCAGAACAAACACATGACTTCAAACTGATTTATTTCTGTCAGGTGTCGCAGTATTTCATGTGAAAATCTGTAAAAACTGAAAGATGAGAGGAGATTATGTTTTCTGTTTTGTATCATTGGATGTATTTTTTTTGTTTTGTGCATTTGTATAAAAGGCAGATCTAGAGATAAACACTGCAAACTTGATTGGATTATTAATGCTGCGGTATGTGGCATTACTCCATTATACATACTTACCCTATACCCTACCCTATTAAAATAAATCATGAAACTAAAATGAGATAACGCTTTATTGATTCCAAAGCAGCGGGAGTTCAGTGTTACAGCAGCAGAAGTCACACACTGTTCCCCTCCATCTTTTTAATGTCAGTGTGCAACTTTCATCTGCATCTTTTAACACACACAGAGTGTACGACAATATGTGTGTCAGTGAGTCAAAGACAGATGACACCCCCTCCCTCCTCACCACCCACCCAGTCCTATTCACTACCTGCCCTTTTCACGCAGCATTCGCTATGACGACGATGTAATTACACTCTACCTACACAGGGTTAGTCACAGATCGCTGCCCAAGGACCAATGCTAAGCAGCTAAAAGCCAGTCTGCCCACCAGTTATGCTCATCAAGGATTCAACGTGGCTGTTTAAATGTTTAGGGGCAGACCTGGCTATAGACGATTGTGCAAGTAAATTACACCAATAATCTCCGTCTCAAGTTGAGCAGAACAAGCATCTGAAAAAGAGACAATAGAGAGCAAACACTGATGTTTGAGGCTAAGTAATAAACAACAGTGACATCTCTTACCATCTCAGTTTCTATTAAAATTGTACGTTTTGTTTTGGCAGAGATAGCAGCTTTAAAAATCATTATTTTTATTTGCCTCATGTTCGTTGTAGCAGCATGTTTGGCCACTTTTGCAACGGTCCTTGTTTTGTGACTTTTCTGTGTAGTACACGGGGATGTAGCTGCCATGAACATCAGCAAGGTCATGTCCTCAGTTGTGTTTTGGGGAATTAGGGGGTTTTAACAACCTGAGGATTACTGTGATCCACAATCACATACACATTAGCCATGGTGCTAATGTAAAGGTCTGACTTTGATATTCTTTAGAGTGTCTTAAACAGTGACTGTTTTAAGTTTGGAAAATAAAAAGCATTAAATTTGCATCAAAACAAAACTGAGGGATTTTCTCCACTAAAATGATATTCATGGCAGTGTGAAGATATATCTAAGGAGCTGAAAGAATATGAACAAACATAATGTAAAAAAAGCTGTTTTGGTATCTGGTCAAACATTTTTTACAGGGCTGGAGTTGCGGTGGGGGAAGTTGGATTCCTGGCTTCAATATTTCTAAATTCCTGATTGTAAATTCACTAAATAGTAGATTTTTCCCCCTTGCATTATTTATTATTTCATTAATAGCAGAAGTCAACTTGAATGCACTTTGGGATTGCCTTCCTTACGTACTTTGTTTCAGGCCAATAGCACCTAAAAATATATTCAATATAAAGGCCACAAAAAACGCCTCTCTTTTTTTCTTCAGTAATGATTTTTGTCTACTTAATACCACCGTCAAATTATCAACAGATTTTTGTTGCTCGATTTTTGTCTTGTTTTAAAACCACTTGATTTAAGACAGTATTTGCACCAGTATTTGTCCATATCCATAATTCATTTTTGTTTTGGTACATGTGGGTGGGAAAATATTACACATCAGCATCAATTTAAAAAACAAACAAAAATGAATCCATACATTTCCAGATGTTTCTATCCAAAGTGACATACAATTATTATATATATGTCCGAGGTCGACACACCTCGAGAGCCAATAGGGGTTTAGTGTCTTGCTCAAGGACACATTAGTGGATGTGCAGTGTGAATCAAACCCGGGTCACCCTTTCTGATTAAACTGCTAAAATTCTGGCAAGCAGGCCAGAAAATTACCACAGCCTGGACACTTTCCTTTCAAGCGAGATGCCCGCAATTAACCTCAAAAAACCCACTCACCCCTATCATTGCCTGCTAGGTGTTAAACCGTGAGTGCAGGCCAAACAGAAAGCAGGTGATCACTCTCTACTGATGAATACCATTCATGTTCTTACAGTGCCAAATACATTCCCCCATTGGCTGCAACGCTGGTGACATTCAGGTCCACGCAGTTGTCATAGAAATGAAATGAGTCACCTCATTAAGAGAGGACTGACAGCAGTATGTGGAGTATGTGAGCTGATCAACACACCATTTAGACAACAGCAAACATACATAATCAAAAGCAGCCACAGCCAGTGAGCAGTGTTGTTGGAAATGTCTCATGATGGCAGTAAATGTAACCAACCCTATGAGAGTCTTATGAAAAGATGATCATCGCTAACTACAGCTACACATTATCTAACCAATTTGTTGGTTAGATAAGGATTTTTGTGTACAGCATAAAAAGGCTTTTATGATATACTGAGTTGAGGTGAGGCCAATTTGGTGTCCTGATTTTACATAATTAGTGTTAATATCTGACCTAACAGAGTCACGTGTCTAAAGCAAAAGTAGAGCTACTTAATTTTCCATCCTCTACACACAGAGCCAAGATTAGAGGTGGCGGGAAAAATCAATACAGCACAGTATCGCAATATTTTCCGTAGTAATACTGTATTGATACACTGACGCAGTGAAGTATCAATCTTTTACTATATAAATTGCACATGAGAATTTAACTTTTTGGTACTAGAATAATAAAATCTATTGCTCAGTCCACTAGAAAACTCAACAGCACCATCTAGTGGAATGAAAAAGTGAGATAAACAAACAAATGTATCTTTTTAGATAAAACAGATGGTGGTGACATAATTTGAAGTTTGAAAATAGGTATTAAATTGCAATACATCACAATATACTTAAAATTGCAATAATATCGTATCGAGACACTAATATCGTGATAATATTGTATCCTGGGGCCTCTACTGATTCCCACCCCACATATGATGAGAGTTTTTTATTAAGTTTTAAAATTGATGCAGCAGATATTCCTCAGGTCCTGGATATCCTTAGACTCCACTTTAAACAATCCAATATCTGATTAATTTATGCTTAATATTTAGGATTCATAATATTTTGCAAGTCCTTTAAAGAAAACAATGGTTTATATCTCCCCTGGTTAATATAATGCAAAGACTTTTTTCATTCAGGAGAATGTTTTTAGGGCCGGGGTTTACTTCTAGGAGGAGATTTTCTTGTCAGGTGTTAGGGTGAATGACGGTAAACACTATGCAACATCATCACAACCACAGATGTCAAAATAACGTAGACCTAATGGAACAGCACTACAAAACCAAACTTATTTTTAACTATGATCATGTAGCTTGGGCACTTTTCAAGTCTGAAGTTGTATTACAGTAGAAAAACTCAACTCCAAACTCAACCACATTCAAGATTGCACACTGTGCATCCATTTGTAGGAACTTGTTCTTTTTGTTAAGAAGCTGCTCATGAGCTGTAGCAGCACAAATGTTCTGCAGCATGCTGACACCCTGGATACTTACAGTGGTACGCTGTGTGTTTGCTTGTACACACTGATGACTTCTTCAATGCAGCGTTCCACTTTTTTCTAGTTATAAAAGAAAAGGGGCAGGAAAGAGGAGAGTGAAAACAGTCATTATGAAGGTCATCATGAGCTAAAGAATATCAATAACATAATCTGCCTTTTATCAGCTAGTCATTTCCATTAGTCAAAGGCAGAGCAGAGGTAGGTTCTGTTTGTAGAGCACACTTAAAACTACAAACATCACATGTGTTGCATTGTGCTGATTGATCTCTTTACTAGATTTATATTTCTATATTTATTAGCTGTTAAGCACCAACATTTACCAAGGCAAATTCCTCATGTGTGAAAATGTACCTGGCAATAAACCTGATGCTGATTATCATATCATGATGAAATATGCAATGGTTTATTATCAAAGCACTGTGACCTAGATATGTACTAAACATGATTTTTTACAATTGTAAGATAAACAAGAGCCACAGGGTTTCTAAATTACCTCAGACTTATCTTTGGCACTTCTGTGGCACTTGATACTTAGCGGATGGGTTCAAATTAGCTGTTCAGCTAACCTCAGCATATGTACATCAGTGTTTATAAAATGACAATGTTTGACGAACATGCACAGTCCCCTATTTAAATATGAAAAAGTAAACAATTAAATTATATTTGCAGATTACGCTGGATGCGATTACCTAATATCACCAAAGATCTCCATTGGAAAACTCCTTTGTCATGAGAGTTAAGGGGTCACTATTCTTTCACGTGGCTCTTAACGCATTACTACGGCATGAATTAACCACACACTAATTAACTGCAAGTCAAGAGCTTAAAATATCTAATTGATGTGCAGCTGTTCGTTGGAGTCTCATTAAAAGCCGTACAATAAAGTCACATGGTCTGTCGTACCCGGGCTTAACTGTTTAAGTTGCTTAACTAGCAGTTAAGTTAATGCATATTTAAGTTAATCTCTTTAAGATACAAAGCTAGCTACCTAAAAGCTCAAGTTTGCTAACTTAGGCTAGCTAAAGCACAGCGAGATAATGTGCGCGAAGCAGTTTCCCATTTTTTTTCTAATCGATGAGCCGAATGAGGGGAGGTTACGACAGTGACAGTTGAATCTGTGTCACACTTTTCCAGACGCGCCTCCATCCAGAGTAGAAAGCTGCCACTCCATCACATTAGCATTAGCATTAGCATTAGCCCACATTATCTGCCTCCGCTCACCTGCTCCACTGAAGTCACAGTCTCCACCCCGTCGTCCACGAACATTTCTGCGGGATGGCGCTCACTGAAGCACCGCAAAGACGTCGTCACACCGTCCATGTTGATAATATGACCCGTGAACTGCAGGGATGCTTTTAGTTTGTTTTGATAGTTCGCTCACTTTCAGCGGACTCCTGCTCACTTCCTGTCGAGATTGTAGTGGGCGGAAACTGCGCGCACACCCGCTACGGCGTCTCCAAGGGAACAAACCTCTTTCATTCGCTTTAGTGTGAAATACGGCACACAGCCACTCACAACCTCGTGTTTGACGTTAGTTTTATTGCAAATTATGAGTTAACGAGTGACTATACGTGTGACTGTTCCGTGTCCCAGTTTAATTTAATCCATATTGCTCTCATAGGTGTTTGTGCCACTGACGAAGAAAGAAGCACTGCTGCCGCGCACCGTCGATCTGCAAACTAAACACAATAGTACCGGAAGTGGTGTGATCCTGCAAAATAAATCCTCAAAAGTGGTTCTGAAGAATAAACGTTCACATTTTTATATAAATATAGCCTGACACAAAGTTACAGACAGCCTTCTTCTACTTTGTCTGTTGTCAAGACTGGTTTACCATCCAGACAAAGCTGTTGACTCCCCTGTGGCCAGGGACCATGAGAGGGCCTGATGCCTCCAGAATCAGAATTTCACATAGGCTACAAGAAATAAACCTTAGTAGGCTATGTATTGGTGCTTAAAAGAACACATAATCACTGATTTGTTGAAGCCACATGCTCCTTCAAGGTCTCTTCTTGTTGTCCCTAAAACACGGCTCAAGAGCAGGGGGAACAAGCTTTCTCAGTCGCAGCCTGTGGAATGAATTGCCTCTTCATGTCAGACTGGCACCAAGCCTTCCGGTTTTTAAATTGCGACTTAAAACACATTTTTATTCCTTGGCTTTTAATCTGGCACGAGAACTGTATGTTGTATTTGTCTGGTGCTGTATTTTGTCTATTTACTGTTTCATGTCAATGTACAGCACTGGTTGTTTTAAATGTGCTTTAGAAATAAAGTTTGATTGATTGATTGACAAACATAAATATAGTAAAGAGCTCAAAAATGTGCAGTATACAAAAAATACAATAATAGTAACACATAAAATGCAAACAATATGTACACAGGGTAATTAAGAAGGAATGTGCAAACATTTGCACTATGAGACATAAAGAATAAAAAATTTGTGCAATGTAGGCTACACAGTTCAAAGTTAAACTCCAGGTTCAGTGTGTTAGTTAGTGGCAAATTAATAAATTGCTTATTTGTTTGTAAATAGCTGATTAGAAAATTCTGGAACATTTCAAGCTCTCCAATTAGAAAAAGGGGATGATGCCACTGATGTTCACACTTTATTGATCACTGCCACACAGTTAGCACACAGGTTGACATTTGAGATGTGGTGTTATTCAATGCATGCACATGCACCTTTAGAAACGTCTAGCGGGGGCATTTACAGGCTCAATAATCCTCTTCCATGAAATAGGAGTCCTATGGAGCCCCCCTGGTGACATTAACAGAAAATATATTAATTCGTGGCCACAAATATATATATATATATATATGCCTTAATTTAATTCATAGATGGAAATAACACCAAAACTAGACTAATAGATAGATAAAGATTTCACAGGTTTAATATTATCCTGACATTCATATTGTTATAAAGATATCTTGTGGGGAGGGAAACCAATCGTTCTATGAATTTGCCACCAAAACATTTATCTAATCATCTTTGAACCACATAAATCTCAAGTGCCTTAGGCTTTTATGTTGGAAAGCACTGCCGGAAGTCTCCTTTTCTCATTGAGTCTTACATGACAATGGTCCACCGCGCCCACTGGAAGCTGGAGGCTGCCTGGGAAGCTGGAGCATCCCTGTTTTGTTCCCCACCGACCCAGAATCAGTGAAGAAAAAGAAGCATAGCCAAAGCTTTATGTTGACCATTTGAGCAGACATGGGATGCAGGAGGGGAGGGACTGGTCAATCGCTGAGTTAGCTGACTGGGGCTTTTTTAATTCAACACTATATCCAACACTATGGCAAAGCAGTACGATGTGCTCTTCCGACTCCTGCTTCTCGGAGATTCTGGGGTTGGGAAAACATGTTTGCTCTGCAGATTCACGGACAATGAATTTCACCCTTCTCACATTTCGACCATCGGTAAGACTGCACCGCCACCATGAAGTAATTTCTTGAATTTTATTCATTACTTGCTTTAATGAGCATTTCCATTGCATGCATGGTCTTTCGGCGTTTTCTGTTCATGATTGTTTGCGCATCACCCTCTCTTTGTGGCCATTACATTTTCACTTTAAATTCCGTAATTTAGATTTGATTAGGACTTTGTTGTGATGTAATTAGAATAACTTAGGCTATATTTACGTGGAATAACGAGAATGTTAACTATTCAATCAACGTGATTGCAGTCATCGGGGAAGCCCTAAAAGGGAAGAGCCAATACTTGGCAGCCATGCAGATGAGTTTTCCAACTATCAGCCTTTGGCACCGACAGTGTAACCAAGTGCCATACAAAATAATAGCAAAGGCATAGGGGGTAGGTTGCTCGTGGGACTCCCAGGGTGTGTTAGCTGGCTCCAGGTTCCTGATCAAAATGAAGAATAGTTTTATCTCAGTATTTTAGTAAGCAGAATTAGTACACCCATGGCCCAGTCTCAATTTCTTCATGCCAAATAACCATGGAACAAAATTATTCAGTACTATGGATCAATTATTTCAATTGGTTTTCAAGCAAAACATTGATGGTTTCAGCTTCCTCCACCAATCACAGTAAACTGAATACATTTGGAGTTTAGATTTTGTTTACCAAAAAAAAAAAAAAAAACAATTTCATCTGTTCCTACATGTGGTCATGGATTTGCAACATCCCTGAAGATGACTATTGACTCAGCAAAGCTGAATCAGCCTCTTTCCACATAGTTAACATGGTCTATGCGTTATATCTGCTTCCATAGTTGTGATTCAGAGTGCAGAATATGACAGGTGCATTAACATGCTTCACTTTGAGCTGAGGGAAATAAGGATGTGCAGTAAGCACTGCCCTTTTTTCACATGCTGCTGTGGTGCCTCTTATCACTTCTTCTGTGGCAACTGGGCTGTCATTTCTGTGTGTGTGTGTGTGTGTGTGTGTGTGTGTGTGTGTGTGTGTGTGTGTGTGTGTGTGTGTGTGTGTGTGTGTTTGTGCTCAGTGTGTGTGAGTGTTCAGGCTATAGAGATAATTCCTCCCATTCTTTGAGGTAGCAACAACTTTTTTTTTGACATGGCTTGCAGTAATTGGCCCTACTAAGGAGAAAACAAAATACAGACTGGCTGACTTTTCCTTGAAAAGAGGGAATATGTTCTCTTAATACAGTCAAGACGATAAATCATGAAACTTGTGGCCTGGCTGGGATTTGCAGACAGTTGGTTCCTGAAAAGACAGTGAGAGAACAATTAATTAACAACAAATAATTGTTCTTTTTTTCATAATTTTTCAACATATTTTGGACAGCTTTTGTCTTTGCATGGATGCTTTTGGGGTCAATTTAAAGCCATTATAATTTTTGAGAGCTTAGTGAAGCCTTGCAAACACTCACAACTCAAGTTTTAGACTCTTCTGCTCATTACACAAGCCTCATCGCACTTAACTTTAAACACTTGTTGTTTCACCTGCTCCATTAATGATAAATGCTCACATATACTTGGTAAGACCGCAGTATGCTATTTTAAATCTTGCACCTATAGCGCCCTACAGGAAACTTTCTCCCCGTAGAGTTGTGTTTATATCATGCATTGCAAGCCTCTCTGATGTTTCTTAAAAGAAAGATTCAGCCCGTCTGCATGTGATCTTTTTGTGCTTTTGTTGCAGTGTACAAAGTGTTCACAACCACAGCTGGATGCTTAGAAATCAGGCTCTTGTGTTGGTGCAGGCGGTGGATATTTATATTGGGCTGAATAGTTGAGCGCAGCAGACTGTCTATAAGACATGGTGGGAGGTCTTTCATGGGTCTGCATTAATTCAAACTCCTCTTCTCAGACTAAACAAGCCCAACAAAGTCCAAAGAGAGAAAGAGAGATCAAGAGTGACCACCATCGGTGCTCTCCTGCAGAGGATCAATAAATAATTTCCCAACCTTCATGGTGACAGAGGGATATATTCTCTCCGTATCTCTCTCATGGGTAACTCCATGATTCATCAGTTTCCGTTAAAGTCCACCTGCCCAGATTTTTCTCCTAATTACCTCAAAAACTGCAGGACCTCTCACACATTGTATACAACAAAGTTATTCCATAAACATTGGAGGATAAAAAGATGATGGCTGTCTTATTTAGCATCTCCTGCTTTTGTATAGACAGAGGGTTCCCAGCAAACAGTGTAATGATTAATGCATGCATATACCGTATGTGGATACCCAAACATTACTCCTATGCAATTGAATGTCTCATTCCAAAACATTAATGTGCATTAATATGCTGTCATAACTGCCTTCACTCGCATATTAACGCTAAACACAAGATTGATTTGGACATCTTGTAGTATTATGATATTATTTTTAATATTATTACTGTAGTATGTTAGTGTTTCTGTAGTTGTTTTTTGAACACATGAAAGAACATTTCTATAGTAATAATATGATGATGTTATAGTAAATGTGTAGTATTTCTAGTAACTTTCTGTAGTGCGTGCGATAGAAGCTATAGAAAACACTAGAGTAATACAATTTAAATAATATAGTATACTATAGTAATTCCCTTAAAAACCATAGGGTAGTACTACTACAGGAAGAACTATAGTATTAACTATAACTTAACTGTAAGATCACCATAGCCAACTCAACTAGTATTAATATTGTCATTTTCTAGTGTGTTCCAAAAAACATAGAATTACTATAGTGATACTGATACTGAACTATTTTTATTGCCTATTTATTATTATTGTTTGTGGAATTTCTAATTCTTTATAGTAATACTAAAGTGTTTTTGTTATTGATATTCATGTTTTAGGATAACTTAAATCTAATACATATTAACAACAGTTTGCAACAATTTGAGAAGGTTTTACACTACAGCAGACAGCACTCTTGAGCACCAACATACTGTTTGTCAGAGCAGCCACAGCAACAACGCAGTCACCACCAGGAACTAATGCGTGAGAACCGAAGGAGAGGAATAGGGAGAGACAGCACCTGGACGAGAGAGAGGTGTGACCACGACCAGTTCATCACAGTTCATAATAATGCAGCGCAGTGAGGATACGGATTCATGGAGGATATGAGTGGCTGTCACTGTTAACAGAGACTCCAGTCTGCAGTGTAGTTCATACACTTCACTGATAAACCACAGAACTGTGGAAAATGCTATTATCACGTCCACGCTTCTGTTCATACTCGCATGCTTCCTGTCTCTCTCGCCGGTCTGAGCTCTACCTCTCTCTCTGCTGTATTTTTATGATCAATTGATGGTTTTTATGATGCCAGATTTTTGGGGGGCTGAGTAGGTTGAAGCACCCATTCTTCCCATGTTTATGTCTCTATGCATTGAGTGAAATAAGTAGTTTATTTTAAAAGTGGGTGAATTATAGAATTCTTGTCAGTCGGGGCCCTTTGGATGGCGGGGCCCGTTTCAATTGAAGCGGGTGAAACTAAGCTAAGGCCTTGTATGAGGGATTTGCTTTCAGCCACAAAACATAATTTCAATTCATCGTGTTGAGTTCAGGGTGACGTATAGGCCAGTCAAGTTCTTCCACACCAACATCAGAAAACCATATGGACCTCTTGTTGTGTGCCACGGTATTGCCAATGCTGAAACATGAAAGGGCCTTCCCCAAACTTCTGCTACAAACGTGGAAGCACAGAGTTGTCTTAAATATCATTGTAATCTGTAACTAAGGGGCTTGGCTGAAACCATGAAAAATCAGCCCCAGAACAGAAATATACAAAAGTAGTTGGACAGCGGTGCCCACTGATTTGTTTGTTTTCTGTACTTTAATTGGGCTTTATGAGAGTTTAACTTTTTAACATGGCTTTCTCCTGCACTGTAAAAGTTAGTTTAACGTTGAAAAGCAAGTTCATCTGCTGCCTTGAAAATGCAAGTTAACTCAACCAGAAGATTGCCTTTGTTACCACTCACAAATTCATGTTGATAAATCTGATACCTCGTTGTTTTTTAGTTGATTGAACTGCAAGAAAGTGCAAAGATAACGTCCCTTAACTAGTCTAACCGACATACATTTCTGCATTATTCTAACGTACAGTTTCAAGTTAAAACAACTTAACCATATTTATACTACTTTCCATTTCAAGTTAATAGAATTTCAAATTTGTTTCAGAGTACATGTATACCTTTGGCACTTTCTTGTTTACCACAAAAGTGACTATATTTTAGTTGGAATTTGATTACATGACACATCTGCAGTGTACAATTAGTCGATTATGTCCATGCTTCAACTTTGCCTTTGGTTTAAAGAAGGCAGTTTCTCTCAATCTTTTTTTCAACTGACTTACATACCCATCAATGCACAGATATCTGACAAAAGTTTAAAATAGCCAACACAATGAATTAATGTCTAACTTTAAAATCCAAAACTTGTCAGAGCTCTTTGTGTTAAAAAGAAGGAGTGGATGTAACAAAATGGGGCTGTAATGATTTCCGGTGTGGCCTTGTTTTTTGGCATTCTACCACAGATCAACAGGAAACCTTTACATTGACAGTAAATTGTCTTTACAGGCTGCACGAAATGCAGCAGATATATATTTTAACCTTGTGGTTTTGAGCGTTTTTTTCTTTAAGAAGTTGAAGGACAGTTGGGTTTGTATTCACACCGTCAAAGAATATCTCACACAAAATAGAATTGAAACCACAAAGCAAGGCCTCCATTAAAAAAAGCCTTTCAAAGATTGCTGCCTTTGATTTGATTCACCAAGGCCTTTTGACAATAAATGTTATACTTGTTATAAATATAGATAACAAAAAATAGCACACATGGCAGGATTTACAACATATATGACTTTAATCCCTGTTTACTGCTCACTATCAAATAAAAGCTCCAACTTTGAGTCCACAGTCAACATCAATATCAGTAAAAACCAAACTAGCTGACTGAAAACATTGGAGCAGCAGGAATTTGGTTTTTACCTAAGCGACTAATACACCTTCACTCATCC